CAGCTTTGCTGTCGCCCTGAGTGCAGAGAATCAACCCCCACAGAGTCCCCAGCACTCGGCAGAGCCTGTCCTCTGCTCTGCTTTCACTGATGCCATGCGGAGGGATGCCAAAATCACACTGGGGTAGACCTGCTGGACGTGTCTGCAGGACAGGATTTACTCCCTCTGTCTCCTCAGAGGATGAACCCACACGTTTGCATTCAGGAAAGGAATGTCTCACCCTCCTTCCCTGCTGTGCAGCAGCCAGCTGCCCCTCAGAAATGCCTGAGAGGAGCCTAGCTGGCGGTGTCCGGCCCCTGCTTTGTTCCAGGTCCTTGCAAGCATGTCAGCTATTCTTCCCTCACTGCATGGGAGCCCTGCAGTAGGGATCACAGCCCCGTGCAGCTCAACTGTTGTGCAGAGGCCAGGGGCTGCAGCAGAGCCCGTCCGCCAGCCAGCATCTCTCCCCCGCCAGCCCCTGCCAGCCCTGACCCTGGACGGGCTTCTCTGTGCTGGGGCAGCTGAGCAGTAGCACAGGCGGCCAGGAGGTTTCTGAAGAGCTAGGAGAAAGTTGCTCCCCACCAGGCATCAGAGGCCTCGCACATGGGGCTGTACCACAGAAAATGGATTTAGATGGGATCTCGAGAAACTACACAGCCCCACCACGGGCAGGTGGGCAAATAATTCCTCACCAATGGGTCTTGCTCTCTCCTGGGCTTCAAGCTCTCCAGTAATGGAGATGCCACAGGAACCCTCAGCTTTACTCTTCTTGCAGGGAGAAATATTTTCCTACCAGCCAATATAAATCCTTCCTGCTTTATTTTAAGCCCACTGCATCTTATCTGCAGTGCTCACAGAGAACATATGATTGCCTTATTTGCTCCTACCTCTCATGTATTTCAGAATTTTATGATTGCGCTCCTTCTTTCCATCCCATCTTCTTTTCTCTAGACTAAACAAATGCAACTTTTTCAGGCTTTCCTTAGAAGCTGCACTTGTACACCACTTCTTGTACACTGCAGTCGGTCTCGGCGCATACCACATGGCTTTCTCCAGGTAAATCACATCTTTCTTGAAGCATGCAGCCCAAAAGTGATGGCATGTGGTCTTACCTGAGGCTTTCTTCATGCTATATGGAAAGATTTCTTCACAAGACCTACAAACCCCAGCCCACCCAGGCAGCTTTTATTCTCTTCCATGATGTTTTAAATTTATATCCATTTGAAAATTCAGACCAGCCTAAGCATCTTTTACAGATGTGCTGCCAAGTCTGTTGCTTCCTCTCTTGTACACATCACATTACCGGTAGTTTCTGCCTCAGTGCAGAACTTCTTTGCAATTCAGTGAGGTCACCTTTTTTCCTCCTGGATCACTTCTCCACTTGTTCAAGATAATTTTCAATCCTAAACTTGTCTTCTAAGGGTTTTACAGCACAGGTGGTGATGTAAATTATTTTTTACTTTTAAGTTATCAACTATGTTATCTTCTATACTGAAACATACTGGATTCATTACAGCTCTGTTAGGCCTTCCCTTATTTACTAATAAAAATATAATGTAAAGCATTGCCCGAAGTCTTAATAAAGCCCACATATTCTGACAAAGGGCATTAGGTTGTCTTGATATTGTTGTGCTTGATGTAACCATGATACAAGTGTGCTGGTTGTTACTTTTTACCTGATTGGCTGGGTATTTACAAGTTCCTGACTGCATTTTTCAGTATTTTTTAATTAATTGATGATACAGACTAATCTAATTCCCTTGGTCCTCACCTCTCTTTCTTCCTCCTTCCCTCTCCCAAGCCCCATTCGTCATTTAATTCTGAAAGATTGCTCCACTTTCCCAAGTCTTCTAGGGTAAATTGCATCAGGCTTTGTCATGCTGGGAACATCCAACTACTTTCACTTTGACTTTTTAAAAAAATATTTTACTTAAGTTCTTTTCATTTTGCCATTGAAGTAGGGTTGGGATGATGCTTCAAAGCAGTTTTAATAGTTACTTATGCTAGGGACTTTCAGTCTCTTTGATTTGTGGCCTGATTTTCCCAAAGAAGTTTCACACACATAAATGATCAAAACACATGAGAAAGGACTGAGTCATAACACAGGTCCACTTAAACCAGCATCCAGTCTCTGGCAGTGGTCAACAGCAGGTGACTAGGAAGGAAGAGTAAAGAGATGGACAAGCACACATCGCTGTTTCCCTGAAGTGTTTTCCTTGTTGCCAGCAGCTAGTGGCCAAGAGGCTTCTTGAGCCAGACGTGCTGATCATTCTGTTCAACAGCCCTTGATTGGTTTTTTCTTCCATGACTTTTTCTTCTCGTGTTCTGAATTCATGTAAATTTTTAGTGGTACTGTATCACTAGCCACAAGAAATTCCAGAATTCATTAAATGTGTTCACAAACCCCTTTGGTTGGGACCCCATATTCTGTTGTCTGATGGTTGCTCCTTAATAATTTTCTCCATGTGCCTCCTAAGTGTGTAGTCAGTTAGTATCCACCTCTGACCTCTCATCACTGTGAAAAAGTCACTGTTTACTTTTACCTCTGTTTTTTTAACCTTTGTTTTCTGTAATTCAGAAGACTGTCTCTCTTGTGTCAGTTCAGATTCTTGAAGAGCCCTTGGGCAGGAGTATACTGGACCTTGTTTTTCTTCTTCATCTTATATAGCCCTCCCTCCCCCAAATAGCTGAAGGACTGCAAAACGGTGTCCTGCTCTCCTGACACTTCCAAGTAAAGCAAAGGTCTGGGGTTTCTCATTAGGATCTGTCTCGCTGCACCAGATGTAGCTGGAGGAGCAGGTCTCTTTGCTGAGAGCAGGCAGACATAGCACAGGGAGCTTTACTAGCATGCAGCAGCTTAAGGCTCTGATCACCTTTGCCAAGTAAACAGCTTGGGTGGTGTAAGGCACTGTGCCTTCCACTGTCTGCCCCGGTAGAGTCAGCAGATCCTGACACTCTATGGCCCAGGCTAAGTGCTAGCTCACAGCCTGGCCTTCTATAGTACGAGCTTTCCTTCACCGGTGGCTTACTCCAATAGATTCTGTTGTGAACAGCAGTCAAGGTATGGCTGCATGGCTACACAGCTACACAGCCTGTTCTGCTTCTCTGGGACAGCAATTTCCAGCTTGAGGAGGAGGGAGCCAGCTGAGGCAGCACCAGCACAACTCAGGGCCATCGCTTTTCCTGGAAGAAGAGCCCTCCAACAGCCTCCAAGCAAAGCCCTGAGTTCGTGAGCCCTATGAATGTGGGTTGCTGGCTGAGGCCAAAGCATGTCCTATTAGAATAGCAGCAGGATGCCCAAAGTAAACCCTGTTCGTGATGAAAGGAAGGCAATTAAAATTCCACTTCAGCTGCCTTCCTGTCCCACTTCCTAACCTTCCAGCAGCAGGTGATTAGCAGGGCCTGCCTTCTGCTGCCCTCACTCAGCAGTGCCAGCAGAGCCCCGCTGCCAGTGAGCACTGCTGCCACGGCGCGGACAGCTGCCGGCACAGCTGCCGAAGCACTGCAAGGACGCCGTCACTCAGCTGTTGAGTTTGTCTCAAGTTAACTTAGAATGAGCTAATTTTTTCAGCTTTCAAATTATTTTGCTCTTCTCTTAACAAAGCTCCTGCCTTGGCTGTGAACACACTTGCGAGCCCTGCTGTTTAAGGTTTCCCACCTTTCTGTCCAGGATTTCCTATACAGAAAACCAAACATGCACACTGCACAATGACATCAGTGTGCTTACATCATATTACACTCCCACAGCCCACCAGATGTGTACAGTAGTTCACATGTGCATAAGAATCCTGGCAAAATACCTGCAGCTGCTTTCCCAGCCCGATGGCGCTTTAAGGAAACCAACCCCACAGGACACAGGGAAGCCCTACCACAGCTACAGGTGCCCTCACTTCATACAATTTCCTTTGCAGTCACAGGTCAGCACAGAGATAAGTACACAACACAGAACTCAGTTTCATACAGCAGTCTTGACGTTTGTACACACTTTACCATGAGTAATCAATTTGGAATAGTAAGCAGAAAAGGTTAGAAATGCCATCCATAGTTTAAGAAGCAACTCAAACAATTACATTTGGGTTTTTCTAAACAAGCACTGAAGTTTTTTTCTTCTGTCTCCTGTACTAAAGGGGATGGCTACAACATGCCATTCAGATTTTTAAAAAAATTTTTTAAATCTTCAGAACAGTAAATCTCACCCAGTAACATTCCTTACTTCTAGTTTACTAGAGGTGCTCTGCAGAAAACACCAACAGAAAACAAAGTATGCAAGAGAAACTGATGCCTCAAAGGGAAAATCGAGCACTTAATTCACCCTTAAGGTTAAGCTGATTGACACTTCTGACCAGGACTGGATTTCCTCCCTATCCTATAAAGTTTATTGCTTTAGAAGACATCTCTGGGAACTTAACGGTATTAGGTGGAGAGAACAAGCAAGTGGTTTTCCCTTCCTCACCAGTCAAAGCGACAGCTGAAGCAGGGTCAGACAAAAGTACTGCACCTTGTATATTTTACAGGAATAAATCCCCCCCCCAGTGAGAGTCTACAGTTTGCTTTGCCCTTAAGCTCTTTGAGGTAGCCGACTCTGGGCCCCACAACCTGCTAGAACAGTTTTGTAGGTAGGAGTTTCCCTAGCACTGGTTTGCTGATTGTCTTGCACATCAGGTGACTAAATTATCGGCATTCATGTAAAGCAGGCTAGTGTAAGTGTAAGGAACAACTGTGTTGAAAAAGGGGATGTGTATGTGAGGAGAGGAATAGCCTGAACAGGATCTTAGATCCCTTCAGAAACGGGAAGAGTTTGAAACATTTACTAGCAGCAGATCAAAAGCAGAGAGAAAATGAGCAGCTGCTCAACCTAAAAACTGCATCAAGCTCATGCTCTGTACTCCCCCAGAAGTGAGGAGTAAATCACATTGGGATCAGCACTCCTCATTGATCGGTGTTTTTCCAGGCAGATCCCTCCCTCTGCCTACCAACCAACCCTTTGAACTCAAGCCGATTTGAGGACACAAGTTCCACAGTGTTTTTTTTTAAGTTAGGTTTATTTAGCAATAGAAGTATGTACATGTAAGAGAATCCTCTGCAGCACGAGACATGCACAAAGCAGTGAGGGACTGAAAGTGGTGCTGCTCAATGGCCTTCCTCATCACCTGTCATCCCACTTTACTCAGCAGCAGGGCCAAGACTAGAAAAGGACAGGTGAAAAATTTATCAGTCCACGTGGCAGAGTCTTCAGGCAGAGCCTTCCCAGCAACTGGTATTAAAACAAGCGGGCACCATAGCCAAATGTCTGTTTAATGCCCTCAAAGTAGTAGCGCTGCCAGCCTTGCTTTGTTCTTTGAATGCCCTTGCCTTCCAAGCACACCTCCGTCTCGCCACCTTTGTCAGTGAAGTTCAAGGTAATTGTTGCAAAGTGCCCTAGAGGAACCAAAGCAAACCTGTCAGCAGGGTGTAGTACGGTATATGGTGCCCCAAGAGACTGCTCTGCTCCTCCTCTCACACAGCACCACTTACAAGACTCCTCAAGATCCTTCCCAGAGGATCTATTTATGACAGCTGCAGGCCTTCCTCAGAAACAGAGGGAGGAGTGGGCTCCCTTTTCATGGGGTTCAAAGCAGTTGCAGCCACAGCTGAGCAAGCTGCAACTTCATCCTTCCTAATCCTGGCCAATGGCTCTAAGCAGTGGCTGATGACCCTGACCTGATCGTGTGTGCTATGAAGCTGGGATAAGGCTGGTGCAGCTCCCAGAACACCGTGTGCTCCCCAGTCACTAGCCAGAGCGCAGTGTGGCAAATGGGGCTGTAATTCTTCAAACACAAGCAAGGGCTGTAATGCCATAGTCCATTTTTGGACTACTTACCAGCTGGCCAAGATTTAAATCTCCATTTCATAACAAGTTGCTTCTCAGGGACCTTGAAAAGAAAGACCGAGTAGTAATTTTTTGCAAATCCTGCAGTCCAATAGAAAATAACTAGAATTGTGTTGATCTGAAGCCTTAGAGACCCTTTGAGAAACACACACACAGAGGGAAAGAGATTCTAAGTGTCCTTTTCTTTCCACTCCTCTTCTAGGAAGGTAGGTCATAGTACAGACCCAAACACTGAGACAGTGTCGCCATCCAGAAGACTTTAGTGGGAGGAGGGCTAAAGAGGAAAAGGGTCAGCTACTATCTTTAACACCCCTCCAACCCCTAAGCACACAAAGACAAGGGAGATGCATGACTGGAAGCCAGATTTTCTCCCCCGAGGGAAGTTCCATACATTAATCCATACTATAAGGAATGCTTCAATAGCCACATGGTTACAGGTAACTGTTGGGCACCAGGTAGAACTCCACAATTAGCTAACTGAAGCACTGTTACAGAATTGACACATCAAAAATAAAAAGGCTGCTCCTGAGCAAGATATACCTGCACTAGTTAGTACTTACTAGGTCAACAAACTCTCCTGTGACACTGCCATCCAGCAGCTGAAACTTCCCTCCTTTATCAGCCTCCAAGGCAGCTTGTGCATGGGTGAAAGCTTGGACCATCTAAAAAGAATTCAGGAGAAGACCTGTATTACTCAACATTATCTGCTTGCAAACTTGTTGCCTTAATGCCTCCCACCCAGCTACAAAACTTCAGGAAGAGGAGGTAAGCCAATAGTGTCAGGTCTTCACCAAGAAAAGACAAAAAGCCTGCCCTAGCCAGAAAAGCAAGGTTATAGCCGCTACACCAGCATTCTGCCTGCAAAGGCACTGCCTGCAGTGTTCTGTAAGCCACACTTTGATTTACTCTGTTGATTCCTTAATGAAACCTACTTCTAAAAAAGGCAATGTTTTTTGCTTTTCCTTTCCTTTTTCTTTTTTTTTTTTTTAAAAAGGAGGAACAAAAGACTAAGACCATAATACAATGCTGCTCTCTCTTCTTAAACTATGTAATAGTGTGCAGGAGAGGGAAAGCTATCGCCAAGGTACGCTTTGATACCACCTAACCTTAAAAGGAAAAAAACAAAACGAAAAGCACACAACTGTAAATCCCAAGAGATCTGACCACAGGCAGCAAGGGACACACCTACACATAGGTGCTGACAGCAGTCTGGAACTGGCTTCTGGCTCTCTTGTCAACTGTGTGACAAGATGCACAGGCGAGCTTGAAACAACTGTTCTGCAGACTAGCTTTCTTATTCCCTTCTCATGGATTGTGACTGTCCTACAGAACGCCTTAAAATGCTTCTTAGGAGCAACCTCCTATATGCAAAGAACAATTCTCAGAACAAGCCTGACATTACCTCCTGAGTAACAAATACCCGGTAGAGCTCCTCAGGAGATGTTAAGAAGGTGTCCTTCAAGCTGATCTTACATGTAGGGATCTTGACTCCTATGGATTTGGACTGTGATGTGGCAGTACTGCTGCTAGCCGCCGTCTAACAAAACAAGGAAAACAAACACACACATACTTTTTTTCACAAAAACCCCAAGAAGTGGTTTACATATCCAAGAGAATAAACAAAGGCCTTTAGTAAAGATGTAATTAGGTACAACCACATTTGAGTTTAAAAAGCAGATCTATTGCTCTGCTTGAATTAAAAATATCATGTGCTGCAAATTGAAACACTCAGGCCTACACTACAGATTGCCAATTCCTGAATATATATATCCTATAAACAGCACAGGTTGCTCCTGTAAGCCCCAGAATCTAACACTGCGTACCTTTTTTTACACATCTAAAAGTATGTTTGCACAGTTTTATTTACCTTGCGGTCTTCTGCTTTAGGAGCCACCTGAGGTGCTGTTTCCATATGTTCACCATTCACTGTGGGCAAAATCATGCCCTGGGTGAATTCTGGAAAGACAGGAATGCATCCATGAAACTAATAAAAGATCAAGTAAACTTTTTAACTGTTCTTTGAAATACACAATCAAAAAGGGCCTCCTGGTTTCTCCCCTGCTCTTGGTAGCGCCCACAACTTGAAATCAGTTTAAAAAAAATAAACAAACAGACCTCTTTCTACAAGCAGTTAATTCTTCTTGCCCTCGCTACTCTCCACTGAAGGCCGTGTCAGAACCTGCCCATAGTAACAGTTCGGAACTTACCTCCTCTTCCTTGTTTAGACACACCGATCACTATCTCCCACATGTTGCTCTCATTAATGTTAGCCTTAGCCTTAGGTTGCTTTTTTCCCCCCCTCTCTCTCCAATATAAATAACAATCACACCTCAAATACTTCTACCTTGCTGGTTTAGACAAATGAAGATTTCCCATTTCTTTTCAGACTGGCTGTCCATTTCTTGTATCATTGTAGTACAGAATAAAGTTACTTCTAACTTCATCTTCAATTTATCTTCTTTGAAACCAGATGCCAGGACTACACACAAAAACCCATGGGAGGTCTCACCGGTGCCCTGTCCGCTAGCACTATCAAAACTCCACCAGAAGCTTCAGCCTCCTTCAGCATCATGTTTGCTGTTTCTCCAGCTCTACCACCTCTGCCTCTACCAATTATAAAACAGTTTGCTCTTTCTCCCTCATCTGTTCAAACTGGCAAAAATTCCATTATATAGCAAAATCTTATTATACATGTACAATCTTGTATCCTGCGATACTTACTTCCCACCTATTCTTACTATTCTGGCCCACAAGAATATTGTTATTCAATGTTATTCTTACTGAATAACATTCTCATCTTCCACTACGTGACTGCATCTCCCACCCTGAACACTAAAATGCCTGAAAAAACCCAAGTGTGCAGAAATTTGATCCTGGAAAAACACCAGCCAGTCGTGATGTGTACTCAGCAAAACTTGAATATCTAGTATGTGTAGTGCAATATAGGTAAATGGATATAAAAAGCAACTCTAGCATTCCCAGCCTGGACTAGAGAGCAAAGCCAAACTCAACCAAAGCACACTGATTTAACTCCAACTGCAGGAAACTTCTAAAAAAAAATAAAATTTTACATCCAGATGTTGAGACAGCTCATTCAATGCCACCAACAAAACCTGCAGAGCAATTCCCAGTTGTCACTTATTCTCAAATCCAAGTAACACTAGATACATTTACAAAAAAACCAACAAGCTAGAGAGAAAATATCACCTTCCAAGGGAGTAAGCAAACTAAAGGCCCGATTGTGCCACATGCAGTGACTGATACTCTGCATCACTGGGGTAGCAAACACATTTTACTGGCTTTATTTCCTCTACAGCTGAGCTTCAGCATGTAAAGGACATTCTCAGTTTTAAAACATAATCCAATAATAAACTGCATTTTTGATGTATCACCAAAAACAATCTTTCTGGGCTGTGTTACAGTGTCTAGAGATAGAAGTGCTTCTTATCAAATGCTAACCATTTTCAAAAGAGACAGAAAAGTTACTGTTGTTGCTCTGCCAGGTTGCTGTTGAGATGTGGTGAAGAACTAATATTCCCTCCACGTTACCCTCAGCCCTTCTTCAGCATTAGCCCATATAGGTTCCCATAACACTTCTCCCTCTCATTTCCATACCTGTTTTGAGAGTGCTGATGTAAGTTTTTATTGCATCTCTAATTTTTTTTGCACCCTCTTGCTTCATCAGCATCTTCAAGTTAGTGTCAGGCTCATCTTTAGCAAGGCTGACATGGATCTAAACAAGAAGGACAAGGGCCGATTAACTTAAGGCCATGCTTACAACAGGCCTTTTATTACTCAATTCAACATGAGTCAGACTTTGGATAAGCTTTCACAAGCAGCAGTGCAGTTTTATTAACCTTTCACTTTATCTCTCTTAGTCTACAGTAATGTACACATGTACCTAAACACTTCATGTGCTATAGAGCCCCTATATCTAGAAGACAGGAATTAATCTGATAAAGATATAACATGATGGGGAGGGACTCCTTATCAGGGAATGCAGTGATAGGATGAGGGATAACGGTTTTAAACTTCTTCCTTAGACATTAGGAAGAAATTCTTTACTGTGAGGGTGGTGAGAAACTGGAACAGGTTGTCCAGAGAAGCTGTAGATGCCCCATCCCTGGAGGTGTTCAAGGCCAGGCTGGATGAGGCTTTGAGCAACCTGGTCTAGTGGAAGATGTCCCTGCCCATGGCAGGGGGGGTTGGAATTAGATGATCTCTAAGGTCCCTTCCAACCCAAACCATTCTATAATTTTATGAACTTAAGCAGTTTCTAACACCAAAAGAGTTCCATACAAATGTTCTAAAAAAGGTAACATGGAAGGAAATAATAATGCTGTGAGGATTTGTGTTAGAACAAGCATACAGCCAGCAGTATTAGCCTTTAGCTGTGCTTACCTCCACTTCATCGATGTCATTTTCATCTGAGAGATTAGGAATCTCCACATAACCTTTGTATTTCACCCCGGTTTTTGAGGTGCCTGCAATGACAATTAAGTTGTTGAGATCGACATTTCTTACTCTGGTTGTTGCAAAAGCAACTTTGTATTGTATCACTATACTTTTATTATTATTTCCCCAATGAGATAAGTATCCTTATCCTTGACCTTATACTTGAATCTGGCCTTGAAACAGGAGGGAAGCGCATCACTCACCAGTCCATGCCAGCTTGATAGCCCACTCATAGAAGAAGATAAGCTTCCCTTTGCGGTTGTTAATGGAGGCCTCCCCATCCAGTTTGCTCACTTCTGTCACCTCACAAGCCCCTTCCTCACCCTCCACCCTGACAGGCAGGAGGAGAGTTTTCAGCCGCTCTGTGGACCAGTTGGAGGCATCCCGCTCCGTCCTGCGAGAAAACCGGCCCGTGTGAGGATCGCGGAC